GACAACACCAAGTCAAGGGTTAAGATCCCCTTACCAGTCATCTTTGAAAAGAAAAAAAAAAAGCAAAGAAAGAAACAAACAAATTTAAATAGAGTTTTAAACGCTTGTTTTGAGTACTTGCTGCCATTTCTCTGATTGAAGTGGGATTTCAAGTTTTATTTTCTTTTTTTTCTTACCTATCAGGGAATAGAGAGTGAAATAACCATTTCAGGAAAATAAAATATGATTTGTTTCCAGGAGGCAAGATGACAGACATGTGCTATGTCTGTTGCTACTCAAGTCTTCACATAATACTTGGTAGTTATTTTTATTCATGCTTTTTCTTTGCTTAAGACTCAATCTCTACAGACCTAAACCCAGCACTTTTAAAGTATCTTCTAGAAACCGCTTCTCAAATTGAATATGCATACAGATCATCCAGGGGTCTTGTGAAAATGCAGATTCTGATTCCTTAGGTCTGGGTGGGCCTGAGCTTCTGGATTTTTAACAAGCTCTCAGGTCATAATGATCCTGCTTGTCCAGGGACCACACTTTGGGTAGCAAGCTTACAGACATCTTCAGAAGCTAACTACTAAAGGAAATGACTGCTAACTCCTGCCTAACCCAACAATCAAAGTACAGAATGGTGAAGTTTTGGGGGGATAGGGCAGGATGGATTTCATATTTATGAGTTATATATCTTGTCTACCTTTTTTTTTTTGGCAGCTGGTCAGTAAAGGGATCCCAACCCTTGACCCTGGTGTTATCAGCACCACACTCTCCCAAGTGAGCTAACTGGCCAGCCCTACTTGTCTGTTTCTAAAGTAGGCAACTAACAGTATTAAAAACATAATATTTTATGTGAATTAATAAAACATTGAATTTTTTAAAAAAGGATGCTTGAGTCTACAGTCATATTCAAAAAAAAAGGGAGAGGAAGGGAGGCTGTTTTTTACAACGGAACCCGAGTTAGTAATGAAGAAGAAATGGTAGAATCAACATTTTGTAACCTCCAATGAAATCATCAATTCAAGCAAAACCATCAATGGATGCTGAAACCATTGAGTGAAAGGTCCTTGGGGAACTGGATAGTCATGCAGTTTTAAAGTATCACCCATCACTTACTTATTAAATACAAAGGGAAAAGTACTTTTTGCAGTGAAGAGATCTGGCAGACATCACCTTAAACAAGCGATCAAAATCGGCATCACTGATAGTGCCAGAACCTGACATTCTGTGCCCTTGATGTAGTGTGATAGCAAGTACAC